ATATATATATATATATATATATATATTCTCAAAGTGAGACTGTGTACTACATGAAGGTGTCTATACAAAAGGAAAGCCACAAAAAATTAGGACAAAAGCATAGCTAGAACATATATGCACGTGCAGAAAAACTATGGCCAAATTAACAGTGGAAGAGGAAAGATGAGTTTGGGAAGTACTAACAGTTTCAGAACAAATTGTTAGAACTGATGCAAAGTCAGGAAAGTAGAACTTCCCAGACAAGTGTTAAGCCTGGAATGGAAAGAAAGGCCAGAGAAAAGGACAAGCATCTCTTGCCAGACTATTAGGCCTAGAATCATGAATACAAGAGACACTGTCCTAACCCTTTGTGCCCACTTTTCAGTCTCTCAGAAACAAGCTTTTTAAGCTGCAGTCATTGTTTTGTGGTAGAAGACAGAAGTCTTTCACAGCAATTTGAAATTAGCTATTGAGTTCCTGTTCATAAAGCACTTCGTCTTAAGAAAGGCCTAAATACAGCTTCTGAACATAGGCTTTTCCATGTTTATCCACATTATTTTTAATATAATGAAATTCAGTGTATTCCTGTTAGGTTTAAAATCTAAAACCCACTGTATACATCAATTTTGTTTCTACAAAAGTAACTGAATAGTCTGTTTATTTGAATAAATATTTTAAGGTGAATTATGGTTAAAAATTAGTTTTTTGATAAACAGTTATAATTTACAAAATTCAATCAAAGTTTTCGATGATAGCTTGCCTACTAGTGTTCCATATGATAGTACAGTTATCAGTGAAACTTCCTTTCCATTAACCTTAACACACTTACAAAGCAATGTAACATTCTAGACATTAGGCACAAAGTGCTGCTTTATTTAGATGAGACCGTCCCCCCTTAAGAACTGCAAATATATTCCCTTCTTAAATACTGCTTAATTTTCTAGACCTATGGCAAAAGTAGCTGAGTGAGGGTCATTGGCAATTCAACGATGGAAAATACAGTTCCACTGCACTGAAATAAACATGTATTAAAGTAAATTAACATGAATCTCCTCTGCCACTGCCTGCTTAGTAAAAAAAGCAAAATTTTGTTTTTAAAAAAGTTAATGGATTTACAATGGTAACCTTGGAACAGATTTTAACTTTTTATTTTTAGCAATACTTGTTACCTGATACAGCGTGTCTATAGTGACACTGCAGAAGAGCTTTTCAATTATGATTCGAAGAACAGAAGTGTGACGTTGAGCAAGCCCACCTACAGCACCAACATCTGTATCAGCCTGGTTTCCAGACACACCATCATTCAGAGTTTGCAGTACTTCTTGGACTTTCTGAAATCATGACACAGCAGAGACAACAATTAACTTACATATGTACAAATTATTCATTTCTAAACAGAGTTCTCTTACAAAGAACAGCATAAAAAATGCATTTAAATTGCAATTTTAAAAAATAACATATTCTCTGTATATGATTGTTGATTCAAATCCCAGATTAATAGGTAAATCACACCTTTTCCTTCCTCCTCCCCTAAAAGAAATAAGATCATACTTTCACAGGATTATGACTTTAAGTTAAACTGTTGGTACTTTGTATTGTAATGGCATATAGACACAGTTTTGCTTTGATTTAGTAAGCTCTTGTCATTCTAGAGATTTTCCAACAAATCATTATGACAACAATATTGCAATAGACTAAAAACCAGTCAGTATACCAAAAACAAATTGCTCTGCTTTATGAGGATTTCATTCTCTTCAGAAACTAAGTTTTGCTGGGCATATGCTTAAAGGCGCATACTCTGCTCCTTTTTCTAAGCCATGCTATCAATCACACACACACACACACACACACACAAAATCTTTAAATCTCACTCCTCAGTCTGCCTCACTGGGACTTCGGAAGTCTCTACATTTGTTTTCGATGGGCTTTTCTCAAAAAGGTCTTCAGACTACTGCTGAAAGCACTATGCTCTCACTAGCCCAAATGTAGTGCTGTGACAAAGTCACATCTCAGTAACACCATTTCATTGGAAGATGGACTAAACATGGCACACGGTAAGGATGTTACCCAGTTTCAGAAACATGTAACCCTACAAAATAATCTGTACTTCAGGCTTGAGCCTAGACACTAAGTCAGTAACACAGTGTCTATCTGTTCTGCTGGGGTCTCTAAATAAAATTCAAATGTAAGTGCAAGAAATTATTTTTTTAAGTAGACAATTTTTTATATAGGAGAAAGTAAGTTGCATTCACTGTGTTGAAAAGTCTGAGAAATGGATACAAGAAGACTTATTTGCAAATATTTTCCTGAGGCTGTTACATGTATCACATCCCTAGTTAAAAAAAGAAAAAAAAAAAAAAAGTTATTTTATCTGGTGGATTGGTTTGTTATGTGCAAAACCAATCTCAGATGAGGAAAGAAACAAGTAACATTTATCAGATTGTTAAGCTGGCAAGATTTCAGTGACTTTTGTGTCAGCACAAATTGAAAATAAGCACTGATTTTTGCCCCAGTCACTAGTTGTAACAGTCTTATAGAAAACAAAATCATGATACATACATAGTATTACATAATTTCTATATTTAAGTGGGAGGTAATTGCAATTCCTCCAGGATCCAAAAATCTAACCAGAATTTAACTACAATACAATGGCTTGTATACTTTGATCTTACATAAAGAGTATTTCCTTGTTTAGAGATTAGGATTTAAGTCAGTCATCTGCAATGCTCAGATCATATTCTTAAGAAATCAATTTTCAGTATTTCAAAAAGACAAGGAAGAAATTAATTCTGGTGTTTGGTGTGAATATACATATAAACCTGATGTTTTATCAGTTAAAACATCTGTATTTTCCATATTTATCCATATTTTTATAAGATAACAGTATTAAGAATAAACTTGAACAACTTAAAGATGATTATTTGCTATTCCTGAGTCTGCAAGGGCTTGGAACAGTGACAACAATACACATCTTGCAACAGCAGGTTACAGGACCCCTCACAAAAGCACCCATATCTGATAAAGTAAAAAGCTTCGAAATAGCTGCTTTTGAGGCAGAAAGTAGTTCATTATGTATCAGCTGGGTCTGGTCTTCCAAATGTTCTTCAGATAGCATCTACAGACCCATGATTAACAATTAACTTTAAGAAAATTAATTTTTTCACTTTTAACTGTTCACTCAGTAAACATACCTGAAGTGGTATGTTTTTGTAGCTTTTCTGCTATCATGATATAGACACAGTTAATAGGGGCAAAAATTGAGGAGTAAGTATTCAGAGAAACTATTTACTGGAGAAGACATTTTTTTCATGTTCTGAAGCTATTGAAAGCTGTTACCTAATATTAAAACCCTGGAATGGCAAGAGTTCTTTCAAAACATTGTAAGCAAGTATTTCTAAGTAGCATGGAAAGTACTAGCAGCATCATCTACAGCAGGCTGCTTAGGACTGCTTCCAGTCAGGTTTTTAAATGCAGCTGAGGATGGAGACTCCACAACCTCTCAGACAACCCACTTCAATGTATGACCACACTCACAGTAAAAAAGCTTTTTCTTAAGTTTGAGTGGAGTTTTCTTTATGTGAATTTATGCCCGTTGCCCCTTGTCCTATCACCGGGCACCACTGAAGAGTCTTGTCTCCACCTTCATTACTTTTCCCAAGCCTTCTCTTCTTCATGCTGAACAGACCCAGTTCTCTGGCCCTTCTTGTATGACAGATGGTCCAGTTCCTTATCCATCCTCATAGACTTTTGCTTCATTTGCTCCATTATGTCCATGTCTCCCCTATATTGAGGAGCCCAGGACTGGACACAGCATCCTAGATATATCTCATGCGTGTTGATTAGAGAGGAAGATCACATCCCTCAATCTGCTAGCAACACTCTGCCTTCCTCAGCAGCCCAGGAGGCTGTTGGCCTTTGCTGCAAGGGCATGTGTGTTGTCCACCAGGACCCCCAGGTCCTTCTCTGCCAAGCTGCTTTCCAGATGGTTGGTCCCACTGTACAATGGTACCTGAGGTTATACCTCCTCAGGTGCAGGAGTTGGCATTACCTTTTATTGAACTTACTGAGGTTCCTCCTCTCAGTTCCTTTCTCCAGCTTTTCAAGGTCCCTCTGAATGGCAGCACAACTATCTGGGTTGTCAACTGCTCCTCCCAGTTCTGCACTGTCAACAAACTTGCTAAAGACATTCTCCATCCCATCATGCAGGACATTAATGGAGATGTCAAATGGTATTGGACAGAGTATCAACCCCTAGGGTTCTCCACTAGTAACTGGCCCCCAGCTGGACCTCACACCACTGGTCACAATCATTTTACATTTTACTTCACAATCTACTTATCTAGATTGTTTTTAATGTTTGTCTATTGGGATGTTATGGGAAACAATGTCAGAAGTGTTACCAAAGTCAAGATAAGCAACATAACATGCTCTCCTCTCATCCACCAAATCAGTCATCTTACTGTAAAATGCTATCACATTGGCGAGTCATTAGTTCCTTTTCAAAAGCCCATGCTGACTTTTCCCAATCATCTTTTCATCCTTAGAATGCTCAGAAATGGTTTCCAGGATTAGTTGCTTCATTACCTTCTCAGGGACTGAGGTAAGGCTGATCAGCCAGTGGTTCCCTCAATCTTCTTTCTTGCCCTTCTTTAAGACAGGAGAGAGATTTGCTTTCTCCTAGTCCTCAGGAACCTCCTCCAACTGCCATGACCTTCCCAAGATTGTAAGAGTGGCCTTATAATGATCAGCCAGCTCCCTCAGCACTTACAAGCACATCTCATTAGGGACACACTTTCGTTTATCCAGTTTATTTAAGTGTTCCCTAATGAGATTCTTTTCTATTTTCTTCATCAAGACTTTCCCACTGTTCTCAGTTCCTTGATATTCCCATGGGAAAGTTTTAAACATTAAAGATTGAGGAGGAGACATCCAGTACCTCAGCCTTTTCCATGCCCTCTGTCACAAGGGGCCCCTGCCCCATTCAGCAGCAGGCCCACATACGCCCTAAATCCTTCTTCTGCTGTTGATACATTCTGAGGAACCATTCTTGTTCCTGTTCATGTCCTTCACCAGAGCCAAGTCCACGTGGTCTTTGTCTTTCCTAACCACATCCTTGCGTGTTCAGATAACACTATATTCCTTCTGGTTCACCTGACCATAATTTTATCTTCTCTACGCCTTTCTTTTTGTGTTTGAGTACAGTCAGGAGCTCCTTGCTCATCTAAGCAGTCCTCCTGACACCTTCACTTGATTTCCTGCTCATCAGGATGAACCATTCTTGAGTTGGAGCTCTTCCACAGTATTTTTACAGATATTGAGAAGTCCCTGTCTAAAACAAGTTATGTTGAGATAATGACAGAAATAACAGCTATCAGAATTTGGCTGTTGGTGTAGTGGAAAGTAATCTGTTTTTTTTACTAATATTCTGGTTTAACCCTGGTAGGCAGCTAAATGGTCACTTACCTCCAGCAGGATGGGGGAGAGAATTAGAAGGGTAAAACTCATGGGTTGAGATACAGACAGTTTAATAGGTAAAGCCAAAGCTGCACATGCAACCAAGCAAAATAACTAATTCCTTTACTACTTCCTATCAGCAGGCAGGTGTTCGTCCAGTTTCAGGAAAGTAGGCCTTTACTTAAAACAGTTATTTGGGAAGAAAAAAGATGAAACTCTAAATGTGCCACCTTCCTCCTTTTTCCTCCAGCTTTCACTGAAGAGCACAATCTCATATGGGGTGGGATATACCTTTGTTCAGTTGGGGTCAGCTGTCCCAGCTGTGTCCCCTCACAGCTTCTTATGTGTTCACACTGGCAGGGCAGTGTGAAAAGCAGAAAATGCCTTGACAATATGTAAGCATAAGAAGCTACTATGAAGAAAATAAACTCTATCCTAGACAAAATGAGTACACAACTTGTTCAAGTCTGTTCTGTTAAATGGAAATACTGTACTTACAGTGTGACTACGTAGATGGTCAGTCTTAAGTTCTCTGTAATGGGAAATCTGAATACAAATATGATGACCGCAGAGGCGAGGTAAAACATGACCATAATACCTCAACATATTAACAGCAGATTCTTCCAAATCAAATTCCAAAAGTGCCTGCAACAAATACGTAACAATTTTCAGTGTTGTTTTGTTTACAAGAGAGAAGAAAGCACTGAAGCACCATTTTATTCCTAATTCAACTCTCACTAGAAAATACATATGGAAGTACAGCACTGATTTGCTCAGCATTAAAATGTATTTGTGGGTGTGTGTTTATAGGGATATTTGATTTGTGGGTTTTCTTAAAAGGTTTTACATTGTGAAGCTGAATAACTCATTAAAGAAGAGATGGAATAAGTATGACATATGGGAAGCAATGTTGCTAAATATATCTCATTGCTAATCAATAATTAGATTCCTGAATCCAAGCAGTATTACCTAGGTAACAGATACACATAGTGATTGAAAAACTAGGAACAGGACACTAAATATCTAACAGTTTGTGCAAAGCATTTGACGCTGTCCTGCATGACATCCTTGTCTCTAATTTGGAGAGACATAGATTTGATGGATGGACCACTCAGTGGATAAGGAATTGGCTGAACCAATTGGCTGAACTGACTATGAACCAGCGATTTGTGCTCACAGCCCAGAAAGCCAACTGTGTCCTGGACTGCATCAAGGGAACTGCGGCCCCCTCTACTCTGCTCTCATGAGTGCACATTGGCAGTGCTGTGTCCAGCTCTGGTGCCCCCAACATAAGGACACGGTCCTGTTGGAGCAAGTCCAGAGAAGGATCAAAAAAATGCTCAGGGTGCTGGAGAACCTCCCTTATGAGGAGAGGCTGAGAGAGTTGGGGTTGTTCAGCCTGGAGAAGAGAAGGCTCCAGGGAGACCTTACAGCAGCATTCCAGTGCTTAAAGGTGCTACAGGAAAGATGGGGAGGGACTCTGCATCAGGGAGTGTAGGGATAGGATGAGTTTTAACCTGAAAGAGAGCAGATTTAGCTTAGATGTAAGGAGGAAATTCATTACTGTGAGGGTGGTGAGGCCCTGGCACAGGTTTCCCAGAGCAGATATGGCTGCCCCCTCCCTGACAGTGTTCAAGGCCAGGCTGGAAGGGGCTCTGAGCAACCTGGGCTGGTGGAAGGTGTCCCTGCCCGTGGCAGGGGGGGGTTGGAACTAAATGATTTTTAATGTCCCTTCCTGCCCCAAACATTCTGTGATTATATTAACCTAGCTCAGTTCTCTAGACAATTTTAAAATAAATGTCTTATTTTTAGGATTTTAATTTTTATTCATGATGTGAACGACCATGTCTCATCTAAAAGGATTTAAAAAACCCTAAATAATTTATTTCACTTTAAATGATTAACATGCAGGCTGTTGATTTAATCAGGTAGGTTATTTCAAGACATATGTTGACATCGGTAGTGACAATGTAGTTCTTTACCATCTAGTTATTCTTATGTAAGGTAGATTTAATGTTCAGCAATATTATTAAAAAGTTACTAGATCATTATTTAATCCAGAAATATATTAAAAACTTAAAATAAATATCAAGACATCCCTTCATATTTGAAAATATTGAGGTATCAATGAAATATTTACACACTGTCGCAAGCATTTCATTCAAATCCAACACCAAAAGGGTCACAATATGAACCACACCAACAACCTTGCTCTTACAACTGAATTATTGAAAGTTACATACCTGTTTTTTTCCTCTTAGGATCAAGATATTGGTTACTTTACCAAAAGGGAGGCCTAATGAAATGATTTCTGCTTCTGTAGCATCATCTGGAACTTGAAAAATATGAAGGACACGTGCAGGGAGTCTTTGTCTTTCAGATTTATTTTCCTCCCCATTATCTGAAATATTTTAGGGAGAGGGATGGAGAAGCAAACAAGACAAACTTATAGCACAGTATAAATACCAAAACCTAAAAGAGATAAACCATTCACTGACACTGACTTACCTATAGTTATTTGAATCCTAGGAAAGGACAGTTCGCATATAACCAAATGACATTTTAAAACCCTTCAGCTGTTTCAAATCTCCTTTGCAAGGGGAGCATGAGGTGTGTTTGTTTTGCTTTAGTTTGGGTTGGTTGGTTTGTTTATTTTCTTGGGGTTTTGTTTGTTTGTGTTTTTTTAAGTTTTACAGACAGAGGCCAATAACTTCTCCCAGCTGCCCATGTAACATTTACTAAATGTTAATTACACAGAAGAAGGACAAGTAGTAATTGGGAGGTAATATGTCCATTTTTTATTTGTCATCCCACATGACTGTAAATTTTTAAAAGTCCTTGTAAAAGATAGAAAGCAGTGAGGCACAAGATCCCTACAGATTCTAAAGTCTTCCACTTTGGCAAACTGCTTTTTTGTTTTTTTTAAACATATGGCTGTTTGAATCCTGTAAACAGAAAAGTGACAAATGATTACATTTCAATAAGATGACTGAGTCATTGAGAGCACTTTTAAGCAGAACATCATACCTGGAACAGGCATATTTTTATAGAAGTTATCACAATGAAGTAGGAACTTAAAGTTCTAAAAATTAAATTCATTAGCCAAGCCACAGATACTAGTAAGAGATTCTCCTAAAGCAAGCTACAGAGGATTATGAGACTTTTGGAAAAAAATATCCTAAACTGAGAGGAAAGAGAGCATATTTGATGGAAATTGTGTTTAACTTAAGTGGTATGCAGTTAGAGGAAGAAACAGCATTCATGTTTTACTTATGTGCCACAAACAGCCTCACTCCCACAAGAGAGATAGCCTTAACAACTCCTGTGTTGCATTTGGTCTTCCAAAGAAGATCACAAAAGGTTAGAAAAAATATCTGTATGAACTTAGTAAGTTATTTCAGATTTTGCTTTAGACTGAGTACAATCTAAGGCCGAGAAGTGGTTCACATAAGTAATTCTGTATAAGGATCTTCAGAGGGTTTTTTTACTAGTGTAAGACTGTAAAACTCAAAGTTAGATGATCTAAGCCCCAAACATGGCACACTCATAAGCCAAGTTAACTAACTCCCCCACCTGCAAAACGAAAAGTCTGTTATGCATTGATTTTTTCATCGAAGAGTTTTAAATAGCATCATGTGCTCTGTGCACATTCTGAAAAATGTGAGCATGTGGTACATGTGTTGAGGATGAGACTTCAAGACAAACAGAAATATATTAAATGCATATCAGTACCAAGCCAC